CAAAATATCATGTCTGAGATGTTAAAACTTGCTTTACATTAAAGTTGTCTTTGTGACTACACTGGCTTAGCATCTTGCAATTGTCAAAAGTTTATTTGCCTTTGTTTTGTTTTGTTTTTTAAAATGCATGCATAGAAATGCAAGTATGAAATGAGTTTTTTTAATGTGCAAAATAAAATCTGGGCTTTTTTTTTTATTAAATGAACAATTGCACAATTTAACAACCCTTCACACACACCCCAACAAAAAGAACCCCAAACCAAACTAAACCTGGCCCCATTTATACTGTGCCAAATGACAAACTTCTGTGAGTTTTTTTACTGTCTGTTCCATTTCTTCTTTTCTGCTTCTTCCTATCTTGACTTGGTTTAGTATGGAAACTTTCCCAGATGGATACTGTCTTTAATTACCATACAGATATTATGAATATCTGTAGTGTACTATGTAGTTGTTAATTAGAATTGTGTAAGTAGTAAAGTAGAATTGTATAGATAGTAAAGCTGAGGTATTAAAGTATGTTAAGTTGTAATTTTGTTCTTAAACCACAACTCTTATCATGGAACTCCCCTCATTCTTCATTGCCTCTTCCTGATGCTTTGATCTCTGAAGAGAGCTTTTAAATAGTAATGTTTGCAAAGTTGTCAAGATACAGGTGTAATTTTATTCTTGTGGTCTGAGATAGTTACCTGGGTTTGAAAGTTTAGAAAGTGAACCATTTCTTGCACATTTAGTGGATTGAACCAGCTCACTGTGGGATGGAATAACACCATTACTGGTGCAGTAGTTTTGGTATGCAAACTTAGTGTATGGAGATCACAGAATATGCCAAGTTGGAAGGGACCCATAAGGATCATCAAGTCCAACTCCTGACCCTGCACAGGACCATCTCCAAAAGTCACACCATGTGCCTGAGAGCATTGTCCAAATGCTTCTTGAGAAAGGGGGGAAGCCTTTGAAATGTAGTCCTGTTCCCTGCAGTTTCCCATTTTTCCAGTTGTGGTATCAGTGTGTGTTTATGCTCAAATTATCAAGACATTAACACAATGGGGTTTATAGCAGGGTGTTCTGCTAGATTACTGATGCATGCCTAGTGCCTCTGGAAGACACCTCTTGCTCAAGTTATGTGCTCCCTTGAGTTACCACCATCACTCTGCTGTTGGCTACCTACCTCTCTGTGCAGCCAGCCACACTGAGAATCATTGTGTTAAAAATTCAGCTTGCAACAGCCTTGACTGAGCCATATAGCCAAGTTAATGCATGTGTGTACAGTGATTTCTTTCCAAGAATTCATTGTTTTATTTTTGAAACTCTTAAGAACAATATCAGTATATTTAGAGGGCCAGGACTAAATAATATATGTTTCTTCTACTAATCTGTGTTAGTAATGATATCAAGTATCCCCAAAAATTAGCATGTGAATGGCAATATGCTACCAACAAACAGGATTGAGAGGGTGACACTTATTCACGTATCGTGGTTGATTGTATTTGATGTCTAAAGGAAAAGTGAACTCCAACTGAAAAGTTTCTAGTGGCTGGAGCATTTGTATGGTTTCATTCACAAACACTTTCTTTCTCCCAGGTTTTTATTTCCATCCCTGTAGACACTAATATGACACTTTCTCTTATCTGACTGTTTTCCCATGCAACATGCCATCAAAAATGGGAAACTCATATTAAAGCACATAATTTTTCTCTGAGATTTGGTAATATAGTAAGCCGCTCTTTATCAATGTACTTAATGTCTATGAATTTATTTTAATGGTTAATCTGTTTCTTTAAAAGCTTCATATTTTACAGGGATGAAACTTGATTTACAATCAAGAGATTGTACCTTTTAAACAAACTGAATTCATGGCTTTTAAATAAACAGGAGTATGCAAATGGAGGGTATTTTTCATAAATCCCCTGTTGCTTTCATATGTTAACTAATCCTATACCTTGGCTATAATTTGTGGGAAAAGCTGCTATTCCAATGATTTTCCCTCTATTTAGCACACAGAAAGTAAGTCGTTAAGGGAAGTATCATACTCTGTGCCATGGGTGCTAGCACTGAGGTGTGCATGCATCCAATCACTCGGTGTGTATCTTGGCCTTAAAGACTGAACCTCCAGGAAAGCAATTTGATTCACTCCAGGTTCATGGGATCATGTTTCTTCCTTTGCTCTTGGGGAGAAAAAAAGATGTGCTGTTTAGGCCTTTGGTTTCTTCTAATAGGGAAAAATCACTTTCTAGATCATAGTGTAGTAATATAACTTGTATCCAGATGGATTAACACAATATGTGATACTTTTTCCCCCCTTCTCCCCCTCAGCTTTTGCTTTCCTCCTTCCCCTAAAAAATCTTCCATTTTTCCCACCACTTCATTTTCTCCGAATTGGAAACCTCATCTGTGGAGTTCTAATACCAAACTTCATAAACACTGTGTTTATCTTTCTTCTGAAAAAATGGCACTGAAATTTTTTTATGGTAGCTCAAATAGAGGTTATGTAGACTTTTATACTATGTAGTAAGTCTTAGATTTAGAGCATTTAATCTGTCCTCTGTCTATAATTGGAAATTGTAGTGGCAGTTATGTCTTGCAATGGTGTGACAGCCATAGAATTGTGATAGTAGTCATTTATATTAGATATATTACAATAAATGAATTTTGTTCCAGTAGAGGGAGATTACTAGAATGATTTACCCATGCTTTTCAGTATATACATACATGAGTTGGGTAAGAGGATGCAAGGTTGAAATTAATTTGGAAAATTAGATTTTAATTTTTTTTTAGGGTATGAAGTTATTCAGGATGCTAAAAGTACTTAGTGAGATATAGGTGACAAAGTTAGTTCTGATAAATGCTGACTGTTTTATATGGGGGAAGTAATTTTTTCATATACAGTAGTGGGCTTTCAGTTGTAACAACTCTGGAGAGACATATCGGCATTACAGAATATAAATCTTTGAAAATGTTAGCCCAATGTTTAGTAACTATCAAGAAACAGGTAAAATGTTAGGAATTATTCCTTTCAAATAGAAACTCCCTTAATCATCCCTGTGTCATTCTGTAAGTCCTAGTTGTGCTTTCCTGAGCTGCCTGTAATTTTGGACTTCCCACCTGAGCAAGATGCAGTAGGATAGAAGAAGTAGGAGCGGTGAGAGTGACCAGCAATGCCAAGGGGATTTCTTGGCAGCAGCAGAGAACCAGACCAGACCTCTCAAGTCAGGAAAGGTTTAGAGAGGGTATGAAGCAGAGAAGGACTTGCTTGAGAGATCTCTAGAATCTTAGTCTTCATAGATACGGTGAATAGGGGGCATCAGATGAAATTCATAATGTGCAGATTCAAAATAAAATAGAGATAGTTTTTCTTGTATTATGTATTTCAACTGTGGAACTCAGAGAGTGTTGAGAATGCTGAATGCTGGTGACTCGGATTTAATAACAAGCCAAACATAATCTAATACCCCTCTTACCCTGGAAAAATGTGAGGAAGAAAACCCCATTCTTAAAACAGAAAAGTATCACCACCGATTCAAGAAATGTTTGATGCATTGGTTACTGAAAACTGAGAGTATACTCCAAGGAAAGTGTCGTGTCATCACTCTGTTTTCCATTGTTCACATTTTCTGTTGCTCAGTGTCAGCAATCAGGTGGTAGGGGAGATGGATTTTGAGTCTAGCTTTGGTTGTTCTTGTAACTGATATGTAGATTTGGTTCTTTCAGGAAGATAACATCACTGAATGTGGCAGAGTATGTGCTACACCTTGCACTGCAAGCAACAGAACTACCTTAAATAGCTCAATTAAGTTTATGTCTCTGTTCTGTGTGTGTAAATTACTGGTAAATCATTTGACTGGCGTTAAGAGGAGATTAATATTTGCTCGTGGGTTTGAAATACATTGTTTTACTTGGCATCACTCAATTTTGAGGAGAAATCTGTATTACTATAGAGAGTTCTTTCATCAGAAATTATATACTAAATGTGTTTTCTAGAAAATGTTATTTTCTACCTTTATTGTTTAAAAGTTCATCTTAAATGGCAAGATATGAAAAGCCTTTGGCAAATATAAACATATGATATTTCTCTGTGAGATTAAATCTATTTGCTGACTTAATTTTGATTCTGAAGCAGTGTAATTTGATTCCTAGGATCAAATAAAAGGTTACAAAGAGTTCTCTTCATGTTTTCAGGAACAACTAACCAGCTGGAGGTTTGTAAAGGTGTGTTTAAGCTACTTTTGGTGTGGTTAAACTGAAAGTTGGAAACTCCTCCTGTGGCAGATATGTTCTTGCTGTATAGCTGCTTTCCCTTTTTTTTGGAAATACTACTCAATGTTTGAGCTAGCACTCTGCTATTGTACCTTTGTTTATTTAACTTACAAAAATGCACGAGAATCTGCTTGCATTTGAAAGAATAAAACATTATAGTGAAGATATATATAGAAATATAAAATCTTGAAATCTCTTTTCTTTTAATGTGTTATGCCAGATCGCATCAGTGCAATTCTTCTGTTCTTATGGCTACAAGACTTTTTTTCCACATCCAAAGTTAGCAGGAATAGCATCTTTGATCTTCAGAGCAGAAGGTCTAAGTCTGCTCACTAGCTTCTTTGTATATCTAGGATGTTGGTGGCATATATTTGGTAGCAAAGGCTTTTACTTCTCAGGCTATGCAGTATTAACAGTTGCTTTAATGAATTGGAATATAAATGTAGGATTTAGCTGGCCTGTGCCAACTTGCCTCTGACTTCTGAAAGGTATGACATTTTGTATTTTTACTAGGTCAAGGTAGAATTCATAAATACTTTTTCCTAATTTTAATGAATTTTTAACTCAAGAATTTTTTTAAAGACTGTAAATGCAAGCCAGTCTCAGGATATTTCAATCACTTTATTGAACCATGTTAGAAAAGTTTTGTAAAAAGATGCAAAAATTGTTTGAAATCTGTTATCTTGTTCTTCATTCAGTCTAAAAACTTCCCAGAGTGCCTAATTGTATGGTTTGTTTCCTTTTAGATGAATCAACTCCTAAAGAAGTCAGCAGGGTAAGTGCTACTCTCTATCCCCTCTAAAAAGAAGTGTAGTCTCTGAGGCCCTCAGTTCACTTGAGATGATTTTTACGTAGTCTCTGATCAAGCATAAGAGGAAACAAGGGAAGGAATATGCCCTATCTCCCCTTTTGAGATGTGGTGTGGTAGAAATGAGTTAAATCCTCTAATTTGAAATATTTTGCAGTGTTTTGTATGAAATGTAATGTAAAATCCTAAAAAAACATATTCAGTAATAAGTTCCCTACCCTAACCTTATATCTGATTGACACTGTTTCCTGCAGAATATCTGTCCATGACTGATGACTAATTGCAGGGATCTGTTAGAAACAAGTGTCTTTGTTGGGAATGAGGAAAAGTCAGTACAGGACAATCTGTTGCCCTCAGATGGGTCCAGCCACCCTGAAGCACCCCATGAGGTGAGGGAACCGCTTACAACTTTCTAAAGTGGAATCATAGCCCTGCTTTTTTCCACTTCTTGAATGAGTTGCATAAATTATTTCATGTTCCCAGAAGAAACATGGTAGTGTCAGACACATATTAAAAATAAGGCTGATTGAAAGACTGCAAAAGCTGGTTAAGTGTTCTTGCACTCAATAGAAGTCCTTTGAAGAATGTTAGAGTATGGAAGGAGTGGAGAACTCAGGCTGGTAGTGGAAACTCAGTTTGGTAACCCTGTAAACAGAGGGCTGGCATAAGGGGAAATTGAAGTTCACCTCATATGTGATTATGAAAAGATATTAAATGTTGTCTAAATTGAGTTTATTCATGCGGGAGTACTCCATATACATGATGTGCCATGAATTTATAAGGGTGTTGGGCATGTAGGTGAAAATTAATATGTTTTAGTGATTCATTAACTTGTAACATGATTTTTTCAACTGCTATGACAGTTAAACGAATACCTACCAGTGTAACCTAGGATTATTGTTATTAGTATATCGATACATAATATTTTGATTTCAAAATAATGAAAGATCTGCCTAAGAATCTCAGAAGCTCTAGTTATGTATGTGGAAGAAAGTTCCTTTTCATTGTCATTAATTTGGTAAATAGATTAACATTTACCTAAAACCGTAAAATAATTATGAAACATATCTTGGTTGCCACATTTGAGCGATTTAAGGCAAAGAAAGCAAGTTACGGAACCCTGAACCCCCCCAAGTCTGCACTGCCAGTGCAGTGTCTTTTGGACCCTCTGGTGGCAGCCATCTCAACCCCTCAAAGTCATGTATAGTGGCTCTGAGTTTTCCAAAAGATAGATGAGCTGTCGCTTGAAGCCATGGAATCAGTGGTGTGCAGATGATACTTTAGATGTTCTAAAGTAAATATTTTCTCCCTTGTTTTTTTAGCCATCAATCATTGTGCACTTGGTGTGTATACTCTGTTGCGCTACTATTTGGGTTTTTTTCTTTTAAAGTGCTTGAAGGCACTCAGTAATGTACCATGCTACAAATTTGTAGTATTTTTATAATAATGCCATATATAATAATGTAGACCATTGTATTAGATCCTCTTCCTTCAGCAGCAGCTTAAACAGATACCAGTTTAATTAAAATATAAACATAAATTGGAATTTAAATTAGGAAAGGTTCTGTACATGAATAATGTTTTTCAGACAAAAAGACATGTTCATGCTGACTGAAGAATTATGAGTTTTAAAGTCATTAAGTGTTACATTTTTAATTCCTGAAAAAGTCTGCAAGAAGTAGCTTGTGTCATAGGGAAGAAAAAATTAAGGTTAGTGAAAGGGAATTTGCAGAATTAAATCACTATTGGTTCAGAATATTATGTTAGTTAGAAAACAGGGTAGAAATATACTGAGAAAAATCTTTAATTATTGGAAGGAAATTTCAGTATTTTCAAGGGGTTTATGTTGCAGTTTTACACTGAAAATTTAAGAAGTTTTGAAATAGAAGTTTTGAAATCCCATTGTTTAGGAACTACATTTTTAATATATTGTCATTTTTAGCATGTTAGTAGAAAAATTAACATAAATCAGCAATCTTGGCTATCAGCAGTACACTGCAAGTTTTCAAAACAAGGAGAGAGGAGAAAATAGAAGAAAACAGGAGAAAATGTCCACAGATTTTAAACCTTGAGTTTTTTAGAGTAGAAAAGAAGCTTCTCAAAATTTATTATTTTTAATTCTGGTCTACTAATGGCAATTTCCTCAATAGTTCTGTGTTCAGAAGTTACATATAAAGCTTTCATAGTTTGACTTGACATTGCATCTCATGATTGGTGGTGGGGGGAAATTTCCTGATGCCTGTAAACTGCTTTTGGCATAAGAACAGCTCTGGTTACAAAATACCTCATGAGCATCTGTGACCAAACAGTGAACCTGTGAACTTTTTTCTGCATACTAAATTACAGTGGTTATGAAATATATGTAACTGGGGACAGAATCTCCTTTTCACATGATGTAGTATTGGGAACATCCTTGGAAGTGCTGAGTTTCTTTTGCTTACTTATTGTGCAGATGTGTGTTGGCTGATCCCATCCATCCTAGCTGCATAAGTGGTTTTCTGGGCAGAGGGATTTCAGAAACAAAACCAACTATTGAACTGTTTTGATGAAGAAAATTTAAGCTAAATTTTATACTGTGTTTTTTTGCTGTTTTGTCTGCAAAAGAAATGAAAAAAGAGGAGTGTGAGTTTGAGCACTAAGTGCATATTTATCCATGTACATCTAGACTAAAGATGTAGTTCTTTGACAGCATTAGTGAAAACAGTGTGCATTGGAGACGTTATTCTTTTCAGTTGGCAAAAATAACCCCATTCCTTCATGAACTATAGCCAGGATTTTGTTCTACGTGCTGCTAAGTTTCCCGTGATCACTGTGTGCTCTTTTGTACCTCGGATTCTGAAGTTTAAATGAAAATACTCAGTGTTCCTGATATGATCACAGCAAAATTAGCTGTTCATTTTGCTTAATAACTTTCCATTCCATGTTTATGTGAACAATACTTCCAGTGAAGCTGCGTTTTGGCAAGTACCTTTGCTTTGAAAACTCTGGTGATGCCAACAACAATTCACTTTGCAGAAGTTTACCATATAAACACCAGAAAATTGTTACCTAGCAAGTGACTAGCTCATTTACAGTACTTTATTCTTGGAAAAAGGAATGATACTTTAATCCTCTCCTTTCCCCTTTTTGGACTTGGAGCTTTCGGCAGCTGCCTTGGCACCAGCCAACACCCAGCACAGTATGTCACTGATAGTTACAGAATTAGCAAGTGTGTTTTCAGTAAATAGTTGCAATAATTGCATGTATCTTCACTGTGAAACTGATAATAAAAGTTTGGGTTCTTTATGACATGTTGGCAAAGCAAGCTCATTCCTTGTAGCATTTTCTTACCAAAGATTGGATTTAAATGTCTTCGCACAGTATCAGAACTGAGGACTGTGACAAATTAATCAAAAAGTTAGGGGAACTAGAAAAAAAATATATGTATATTTAGTCTATAGAAGTGTTGCAAATGGCATTGTCACGAGAAGAAGATGCTTGTATAAGCAGATTTCTTTAAAAAGAAAATCTTGTGTATACTGTGGTAGTGATAAGCAACAGTGGTAGGAAAATGAGGAAGTTTATTTTTAATTTTGTACATGGTGTCTTTAGAGTGCTTGCAAGTCAAGTATTAGGAGGGAATGTAGTTTTATAAAAAGCTTTTTAAAAACAGGAGCGGTATTCAGCCTTGTCAAGTTAAAATGAAGCTCGTTATGCTGTTTTGTTATATAATCTGGAGAGATGATATAATTGAGATATTAATGTTTTATAAGCCCTACAGTTAATAACAGATTATATGGTTACTTCTATATAATCATAAGGTTCTTGTCTCACAAGTGAAGCTTTTGCTTTTTATTATGTATTTTTCCTATTACTAGTGAAGCAATTTATTTCAGTGTTACCATTTGGTAACAGGCAAGGAGCTGATGAAAAGATTAGAATTGGATGCCAGTAAATGGGGGTTATGTGGCAAGAAGCTTCTTCTAGGAAAGATATTCATTGTCTCTCTGAGGTTTGAAAATCAGATACATAAAAAGGCTGGCAAATGTGTGCTTTCAAAATTATTCAGTCCTTTCTGTTCAGAATGAGAGAGCTGGTTTACATCTTTTGTCTTAATAGGGCCTGTCCTGCCAAATGTCATGTTGTATTTTCCCTTTGCTCTTGTCGTGAAGGTGTTTGATGAGCAAACAAACAATTCATAAGTACCTCTGTATGGTGTGGCAATGCTAAACTTTATTTACCGTGCAAGTTCTAACCCATGTCCTCTCCAGTCAAAACAAGAAGAATAGACGTCAGACAAATGCACGTAGAAGCAGTTTTCTCTGAGGCTATGCACAAGCATTAAAATTAATCACCTCAGCTAAGTCTGCTCTTCATAGTTTCTTGCTTTCCAGTGTCCAAGTTTAAAGAAAACTGGTTACTGCAGCCAATCCCAGTTACCTCTTCTGATTTTTTGGAGCAAAGAGATTTTTCTGAGTTTCCTCTTCATGCTCATTGCTCCTCTGAAAGCCAGCTCTGCACTGTGAGCTTGCTTACCACACTCTTTCTACTTTTATTTTTCAATAAGAGGATTTGGCGTCTTTTGGCTCAGTATTTTCACCTTGAAGCAAGCAAGCAGTTTTATTAGCCTTTTCTAGGGTTGTTTTTTCTTGTATTTTTTAATTATTTTTTTAATGAAGTCAATATTCATATTTTTGGTTCTTCAAATGTGCAGTATAGATGGGTTTTCACTTTTCAGAGGATATAGTTATCTCTTAGTTATCTGTGTCCAAAAATAACAAACACCAGTTCCAGTGCAAGATGTTAACTAGCTATCGGTGCAGATAAACAGTGCAAAATATTGCAGCCAGTGAAAGTAACCAGGCCTACAAATGGTAGGAGTACAAAAGGTAGCAGTACACGTAAACATAAATAGCAAATATTTAGACAACCTAACTTACCACACATAAAAAAGACCTGAATAAATTATATTTTTGGTTTAATTAAAT